GGAAGCCTGCTTCTCCCTCTCCCACTCCCCCTGCTTGTGTTCCCTCTCTCGCTGTGTCTCTCTCTGTCAAATAAATAAATAAAATTTAAAAATAAATAAATAAATAAATATATGTATATTTATGCTTTGAAAGAGGAATAGCAAGAGGGAGAAAAACCATAATAAACTACCAAAGGCAAATATTAGCAAGAATAAGGCTGGTGATGGGAGGCATAAAATGGTACTCCCTAATACTCATCTATTTATTTCATTTAACTGTTAGACACAGGACAGTAATATAGTTCTTGCCTCAAAGTCAAAGCGTCTGAAAGGGCCTGGCCCAGTGGCCTGTGAACAGGCGCTTTTCAGCCCGGGAACGGAGGAGCGAGCTCACAGAACGAGGGGGGCGGTGATTTCCCCTGACATCAGACCAGCGTTTTACATCTTAAAAAGCGTTTTTGTGGCTACTGTTTTATTTTTCCCTCACAACACTCCTGTGAAGAAGGCAGGGCAGGTATATTATCTTCATCTGACAAATATGCCACTTGTTCGTTAGCTTCTAAAGAGAGTCGAAGCTCTAATTAAAGTTTCACAACATTAATAATTAGTGTTTACTGAGGTGAACAGTGCATCCAGTTTACAACATGATTGAGAGACCTGAGAAAAAGCAGACTGTCCCCATCCCCGAAGCGCAGAAATACAGCCATTTTCCTAACCAACGCCCCCCGCCCCCCCCATGTGCTTCCTAGGTGTCCACAAGAACAGGGAACGGTCACAAGCCATTTCTATTAATGCTTGTAGCTCATCACATTAACGAATGACATTAGGGGACTCTCTGTAAGACCACCGTCAAGTGTTTGCAATGAATGCAAGCAAAACTGGACCGGTCAACAGAAGTAGGATGGAGATCTTGTGGAAAAGAGGTGACAGACACAAAGACATGATTGAAGCTGAGGGGGTAGATGGTGAGGAGGAAGACGAAGCTGGGAGGGGTGCCTAGGTGAGGCTGCCAGGTGTAGCAAATAAGAAGCAAGGACACCCGGCAAAATCTGAATTTCGAATACATGGTGAATACTTTTTTTTTTTTTTTAGCATAAGTCAGTCCTCTATTTTATCTGGAGGCTCCGTCCACAGAAACTCTCAGCCTCTACCAGAATGGAAGGTCCTTGGAGGCAGGAGTTTTGGCCTGTTTGTTCCCTGCTGAAGCCCCAGCGCCCAGAAGAGTGCCTGGCACACTGGACGTGCTCCAGGATCTCTGCCGTGTACTAGTAAAGCATATTTCTTCAGAGAGGCGGGGTGCACCTGGCACATCACCTTGATGCATTTTGTCGGCCTGAAACTGAGGGCAATACATTTCACAAACTGCAGCATTAACTCACTGCTCTTCTTTTAAAATCGGTACCTTTTATTCAAACTAACTGAAGGACTCAACGGGGAAGTCAAAGGATAAAAGGACTCTGAACGGTCCCTTCCTCAGTTTCAACTCTCAACAGGGACGTGCGTGTGGGATGTCAGTCCTCAGACGTGTTGGCAGCAAGGGCACCGCTTGGCCAACTGGTTCTCTTCTCAGCTGGCTTCTTTTGCTCCTGCTTTGTTCCTAAGACCATGAAAAGTGTTTCTGGTGCCAATGCCCTGACCTCACCTTCATATGGGATTTTTCCTCATGTTCTATGGAGCCCAAAGCACTGATTTTTCAGAGGAACGGGTGGGGGAGACTCCTTTTGGGTACCACACACGTAGGGGAAATACAGTTTAAAAAAGTATATTTAATATTATACTTTATCTTTGAAAAATGAAAAAAAATATACAATTTACTCCACATTAAAAACTTTACTGAACTACCGAAATTATTTATTTTTCTCACCGGAAGGATCAGTAACCAGCCCTCATTTGCTGCCATAAAGCCCTTTTTATCCCATCTTAATCTGCAGCCTATAAATGTTCATATGTTAATTACATTTTGAAACAGTGTATTTATAACCTGCATATACTTTTGCATTGTTTGAGTATCTTTTTTTTTTTTTTTAACAGTGGGCAGCTATTTCTTTTGTAATATAGAGTAGGAAAAGAAAAGGTAAAATCATGATTTTTATAAGCACATCATCTCAACTGTGTGAAATATACAAAATTTAAAGAAAACATGGAAAATAAGCAGAACATGTATTTCTGGGTTGTAGTATTATCAGTAATTCCTGCTTTATTTTTTAAGAAAATATTAAACTTTTATATTTTAAAATTTTCTAAAATGAGCATTGTATATATGTATATATATACATGCATATATGTGTGTGTGTGTGTGAGTATAACTAAAATAATTGTGTCTGGCTGAGCCTCTAATCAGATTGCTTGTAGAGGTCATGGCCACTAGAATAAACAGTACTGTCCCTTGCCTGGTCCCGACACCTGTCTGCAGTAACCATTTATCCCCAGACACCCCAGAAGTCACTAATTAGAGAGCTTCCCTTTGCTTCCAAACTCAGTGCACAGACCTGTTAGGCAGTGGGGAAAGGTTATAGCTGGGTCATCAGACTTTAGGAACAAAGGGGAAAGGGACACTCTAGGACGAGTCAAGCTGAAAAGGAATGGAGGGCAAACGAGGTAGGTATCTAAACTCTTGGAGAAAGGAATGTGCCAGAGATACCAGAGGGTCAAGATCTGGAGGCACCAACAACCCCAGACCCCCCTTCCTCTGAATGTGAACACAGGTAAGGGCAGGAATGGGATGGGAGAGGATAGCATCACGGGGGGCTGAAACTCACCCACAACACTCAAGAAATTTCACAATGCTTCAATTTCCTCCTTTATCAAATATTTTACCAGAGAAACAAGGAATAATCCTGACTTCTCTTCCTTAGCTGAGTGCCCGAGTTTCTCTGCCATCACATAGGGATGGTGGTGGTGGTGAGAACAGCATAATCTCATAGGATTACTGTGAGGATTAAGCATGATGATGCAGGCAAAGCATCCGGGCCACTGTAGTACACAGTAAGCGCTCATGACATGTTAGCTTTTGTCATTCATATTGTCTTAGTGACAGCAGTCCCGAGCAGAATCTATAAAAGCCCCGAGAAGCTGGGCAGTAGAAAGGGCAAGCAAAAGAATAAACAGAGAAAGAGACCAGTTGTCCCGGAATAAGCTGCCGAGTTGGGTTGGGTTGGGTTGGTTTGGGTTTGGTCTGGGGCAAGCTACAGCGTTCTTGCCAGAAGGGATGCTTGCAGCTGGGATTGCTGGGACAGAAAGTCACATGTGGGCTGAGTATGCCCACTCCAGAGGTCTCCTCCTATTCCTGGTTTACCAGAGCTTTCCAGCTTACAGGGCGCTTGTAAGTCCACTTCTGGTCCTCCCATGGGTCCTAACCCTGCAGGTAGATGTATTTACTGACGTTTTACACATGGAGAAAGAGCCCTGCCCCATATCCCATGGTTAGTGCTGGATATGGGACTCTAATTCAGGGCTCCTGATTCCAACTCCCCATTCTTCCCATTAGCCAGAGGAGCAGAGCCAGGACTGGGTTCAGACATCACACAAGCGCTCCCCACACACAATCCCTACTCTCATACACTCTGCTCTTTGGCAGATCATTCAAGAGTGGAATGACCACCTGGCGTACCGTATTGGACAGGTGGTCACCTGCTGTCTTACGCTGTCTCTTGGGAGGCTTTTCTCTGTGTTTGTTCTATAAATTTTCCCAAATCTTATATAAGCAATATTGGACGAGATATGCAAACTACATAGGTTTCTAATGTAACTGGAGTAGAACTGAGAATGCAAGTCTTCATGATTCATGATACGGCTTGTCTCATATTCCTCTCCGGGAAAGTCACTTCAAATAGTATGCTCTTCTCTAGCCCCTCTTTCTCTTTGTATAGCAACATGAAACGAAAGATGCCTGGGAGTGGATACTAGGAATTGGCTTGAAGCACCCAGACTCACTTCCCTCTCTCGTTGCTCAATCCCTCATAAAGAAGTTCGAGAGGAGTGCACATTACACTTGGATCAGCATTCAGGATTTTACATTTATCTTTCACCACTTCAACAGAATTGACTTGGGTGATAATTTACCTAAATGATTCCTGTACATAAAGACTCTACAGATGAAAGCGAATTCTCGACGAGATTAAAAAAAAAAAAAGGCAAAAAACCATCCTCATTGGATAGAAAATTTTTTGAAAGCCTAGTTATCTAGGCAACTTGCTAATTAATATCTAGCCATTATTAAAAAAGAAATAAGAAGTCAGCTTAAGCCAAGGCATACACTTACACACACACACACTCCAGAGCACAGTTACCTGATGCACAGCCATTAACCTTTGTGGTGTGAGCCATGCTGGCTGGAATCCAACGACAGATCCAGAAAGGAGTGAGGAGTCATGCAAATTTTATGCATCAAGTTCCCAAATGCATTCAACCTGAAACAATAAAGAGAGCCCCATCAAAATGGATCATTTAAAAATATGTACAACACTAAATCTTAGATGTCTGCTTGCAAAGATGGCTGCTCATGGAGGGCGCCAATCCGGGTGAGGGTGAGGCAGCCCGTGGACGGCAGTGACAGCTGCCTGGCCCCCACAGATGCGCCCGGGGACGGGCACCGAGAGCAGGTCTCCAGACACGGTACTCTTCCAGGAGATAAAACCGGTTCTCTAGAAACGTGGCTGTTTTTAGGAAGGTGGCCTTCAAACGCCAATGGCCTCCTAACGGGTATCGCTCCATAGCCCGTCACCAACCATTTTTGGTTCTTACACGTAAGCCTCTTTTCCAAAGGTTGGCTCAACACTTTCATTCACTCAATTGCACTTTTAGAGTAGTTGTTGTTCTTATACCAAGCGCTCACATTTTTAAAGCATTCATTCATGGGAACGCTTCTGAGGTATCTCAAAGCCTTTCACCTACCTGGTCTTTTAAAACATAAATGTGATCCGGTCAGCTCCTCTCTTAAAAAGTCTTCCATATCTCCCACTGTCCTATCAGATAACCTTCACATGACATAGTGTGGCACACGGCTTGGAAACATTAGGGTTCACGTTGGGCACCCTATTTCTTACTTTATATGAATCCTCTATTTAAAATTTAACTGAGGGGCACCTGGGTGGCTCAGTGGGTTAAGCATCCGACTCTTGACTTCGGCTCAGGTCATGATCTCAGGGTCGTGGAATCGAGCCCCATGTGGGGCTCCGTGCTGGGTGTGGAGCCTGCATAAGATACTCTCTCCCTCTGCCCCTCCCTGCTCCCTCTCTAAAAAAACAAAAAATTAAAAAAAAATGAAAGTTAACTGCGATTACTACCATAAGATGTATTACAATCACAAAATTGAAAACAAAAAAGAAACAAGAACGGGAAAGGAACCCTGCTCCAACCTTGCTTTTTCAAAATGCCTTTTGAAAAATGCTGGCAAAGAAAGCAAACAATGGTACAGATGGAAGTATTGTTTCCACTGTGCCCGGATCCTAACTCTAGACCCACAAAACCTGAAGAAATTGATCTAATGAATTCCAAGTTGAGAATTCAAGCATGAATTCGGAAACCCACAATGACCTTCCAATAGGAGAACGCCAACATAACAAACACATCCATATACACTGGGTTCTCATGCAGCCACTGAAGTCATTTAAGAGCTTTTAATAATGTAGCAAAATACTCAAAGGACATCAATAAATACTGTATTGTCATAAACCTAATTTTGTTAAAAATATGGATGTACATATTTATACATTTATTTAAAACCACGAGAAGGAAATACACCAAAATGTTCCTTACGGTTGCCCCTGGGTGATGACATTAGGAATGAGTTTAGCTCCTTTATTACTTTTGTAATAGTAACTGTTTTCTTAAAAAAAAAAAAAAAAAAAAAAAAATTAGAGACTTCCTGTGTCTGGTTTTATTTGCTTTAAAACGCTCGGGAGGAAGAAAAGAGAGTTTTCCAAATGCTATGCAGAAGGAACCGAACAGGCCATAGTCACGGAGATGATAAGAAGTGAGAAAGACAAGTAAATAAGAGGAGGGCAGAGGATATGGCTGATCTCTGTGATCACACAGGGTGAGCATTTCTCGCTGCGGAGCTAGTGAACTTTTCTTCGCTGCCTGAATGAGCCTGAGCTATAGTTCAAAAGCTAACCACACCGTTCCCTTGCTTGGCTTCTCCAGCTCTGGTGAGTACCATTCAGCCCACCCGCAGAGACCTGATTCTCAGCCTTCCGCGCGTGAGGCCTCCGGGCTCCCTGCTGGTCCCCATTTTTGGTCTGGCAGCATACCACGAGGACAGGATGGCTCTGATCTGTCTGCCTATGTGGCAATCACCTGACCTGTTGCAAACGGGCACTGGTTCAGGTCCATGGCATTGAGCTTGGAAAGCAGTAACCTCTGTGCAAGCAGAGCTGGCTCACTCAAATGGCAGGCTTTAGGGATCAAGTGAGCATTACCTTTAAGAATAGGAATGACTACACATGCCTGGCAAATGCAGCTTTGTTAAAAATATATATATATATATACATGTGTGTGTATATATATATATATTTGGACTGGACTATATATATATTCTGGGAGGGCAGAAGGAGGAGGAGAGGGAGCAGGGAGATAAGGGGGCAGAGGAGAGAAGCCCAGCTTCTGGAATTCTTCAACTCATTATACTTCTAAAAGTCAACAAAAACAAAACCTAAGCAAAACCCTGATCCCTGGCCCCTTTCTAGACCTAAGTGCTTGTGCTCTTGCTTCATAACGGCTTGTAAATACCACCACTTAAACTCTTGAGGGCAAACAGAAGGCAAGAAGAAACAGGCTGCGTGTATTATATGTGCGTGAAATATGCATCAAGGTATTTGGATGGAGATATGCCCAGAATCTTCTGAGTCAAGCTTCCTCCACTTTGGTCCAAGGTCCTCTCCTGTTAGTGAACCTCCTTCCCCCTGGCAGAAGATTTCTACGTCAGATCCAAATTGGTCTCTCCCACCCTCCCTCAAACTGAACAATAAAATCAAAATGAGGAGGAAGCCCCAAAATTAGGAACTAGAAGCATACTGCTGGTAGAAATAATATGACGTGGCTGTCACTGGGCGTGGATCCTGGTGGCATCTGCAGAAAAACAACACTTTTATATTGTGTATTGATTTTCCCCAGTTACTGTTCATGCCTGACAGGTGGCCTCAAACTGTGAGGCCTTAGTCTTCTTAATGATATGCAGATTCTTCAGTCAGTGCATTATATAAACCAGAAAAGGTCTGGCCATGATCCGTTCTCTGTTACAGATCAATAAACTGCTTCTTTTCTTCCCCGGAGAAGTATGCAAACAGTAAATCTTAAGTGGTACAATGTGGCTTAGTTCTGCTAAGAAAAAGCACTTCTTTGAAAGGCTTTAGGGAAAGACATCAATACAGAAAGAATTTGTCTTCTTCTCTGTTGATTTCAAGAGACTAATCTGAAGAGCATTTTTAGTAGCTCCCCTAGTATAATGCAGAGAATACTACAGACATGGCATGAATTTACCCCATAAATAGTTTATATTATGAGCTTACCACGAAGCAAATGTGAACAACAGCTTGCTAGGTCTTTTCTAAGAACACATTAATGAAAACAGATGAAACTGAGATCTGATATATACTCTAGGCTGGTACTACCAACCACCCAAATGCCGCTGTCTTGGTTGGAGCCCAGATAATGATGATGAAGGCAATGCTGAGGACCATGCAGATGACAGCTGGTATTTATCGAGCTCTTAACTACTCTCAGTTATTGAGATATAAATAGCATCTACTCTACGGTGCACCATTATTTAAAGTATCACTGATTAAGAAAGGTGCTGTTCATTAAATGGCCATAAGATGTTTATTAAACATTAATTGTAAGACATAGCCTCATTTCAGAAGTGTTTAAAATGTGAAAAAATGGGGGTGCTGGGGTGGCTCAGGCGTTAAGCGTCTGCCTTCGGCTCAGGTCATGGTCCCAGGGTCCTGGGATCGAGCCCCGCCCGCATCGGGCTCCCTGCTCCGCAGGAAGCCTGCTTCTCCCTCTCCCACTCCCCCTGCTTGTGTTCCCTCTCTCACTGCCTCTCTCTCTGTCAAATAAATAAGTAAATAAGTAAATAAATAAAAATCTTAAAAAAAATAAAATGTGAACAATGTGCATCTCAGAATTTGTAAAATTATGTTACATTCAAGGCACTTGTTAAAAACACCTAGCAGTTATCACCTTATTCAAACCTCACAATGACCCTGTGAAGTACTGAAAATTCTCTCTCCCCATTTTATAAAAAGGAAACCAAGGCACGGGGAGGTGAGAACATGCCTGGCTCAGAGAGCCAGGAAGTGAGAGAGCTAAGTCCAGAGGTAAGCCATCCAGCCCCTGGGGCTGCATGCACTACTGCTTTAACAAGTAAGAATTTATGCCCATAAATAAGAGGAACCTTTCAAGGAGGTCACCCGGGGGATGTATCTGCTTATTGCGAGGATGCTTTTTGCTCAAATTCCTTTTAGACAGAAAGTTATGCTTCAGAACTTGAGGGAATATTGTTTTTGGAGCGATTGTATTTCCCGTCTTATTCCTTGAGATGATGTGTATACGAGCTTGAGGAGGGACTTGGGTGACACACAGGAAATGTCTCAGTACGCGCCCATCACACTCTCCTCGAGACTCCACAGGACACCAGTCTGCCTGGCTCACCACCTCGTGCCTTAGCCTTTGCTATGGGTGTCATCTGACTCTTTCCAAAAATTAAGTACTTTCTCAACCCAGCAACATTCTCCGCCATTGAAGATAGGTGGGAGGCTCCCAACGGAATCACAGGAATTTCAAAAATGGACAGAAGGAGGGCAGTCACGTTGGAATGAAGAACCTCGAGGCTCAAATGACAACTGGGAAAGGTGAAATCATGGTTTGGATGCCCAGGTTCTGGAATCTCTTTCACGACTTGTCATCAGGAGTTTTTCTTTTGCTTCACAAAATTAGAAACATAAACAGGTGTTCCTAAAATCTGGAAAAGAGAGAATCTGAAAAGATAATCACTCACTATCTCTCAGGGGCTAATGTGGCACCATTGCCACCTGAGGCAATTTCTTTTTCTTTTCTCTTTGATGTGTCTATTTTTATCACCTTCACATGTTTTAAAGACCTGCAACTCTGAGCATCTGTGCCAGCCACTATTTTTTCTTTGTATGTATATTTTATTTTTATTTTATTATATTCAGTTAGCCACTATATAGTACATCATTAGTTTCAGATGTAGTGTTCAATGATTCATTAGTTGTGTATAACACCCAGTGCTCATCACAACACGTGCCCTCCTTAATACCCATCACGCTGTTACCCCTTCCCCCCACCCCTTCCCTTCTGAAACCCTCAGTTTGTTTCCTGGGGTCCATAGTCTCTCATGGTTTGTCTCCCTCTCTGATTTCTCCCCCTTCAGTTTTCCCTCCCTTCC